AGCAAACTCACTCACCAGAAGACTCGCAGCACCCCCTTGCTCATGCATCTTGGATTTCTTCTTCCCTTACTTATTTGTAAGTGATTTTTAGGATCCCATTAGGTTTCACCAATTAATTTACAGCAAACTAAAGATTCATGGGTTTGTTTTTTTTTTTTTCCGAGTTTCATACATATCCCAGTTCACCACTGGCCGGAGTGCTATGGGAAGGAGCTAACAGGAACAGGCAGTTTTGGAGCCAGCTACTGCCAAGAGAGAGGCCTATAGAACAGTATGGTAAAGGTGTCCAACAAAGGCACCAGACTTCTGTTACAGGTTTTTGGAGTCCACGAATGGATAAAACGGTCATGGTGAGGAAACCACTAAATATACTAAGAATTAAAATCAAAGTTGTTCAAAATTAACTGATCTAAATTTTAGAGTAATCTAGAATGTAGATTAATTTGATCTAGCACTAGCATGTTAAAACGCACAATTAACAGCCACCTTCTGGCTCTTACATTTGTAGCTCCTTTTCAAGTGGATCCTTGACACAAACTTGGGGCTTGTGAAGACCCAATAAGGCCATTTGAATTTTAATTCCTGTTTTACCTGGGACATCATTCATTGAGTAACCTGCAAAGGATTCTTGGTGTTGGACAGTTTCTCTGGATTCAGCTCAAACATCCTAACAATCAAGATTTGAAGATTAGCTAATTAGGCTCACAATATGTTACTACGGGGAAGTGCCCCATAACTTCAGGTCAGGAAAATCTACAACCATGACATAATTAAACACCATGAGAACTGCAAAGCTGTTTTCAACTTAGGGATGAAACCATGAGTACAGATCTCTCAGAACTGCTGGTAAAATGTCTCATGAAAATACAGTCAAGACACGTTTACATTTAGGCCACTGCACCTGAAAAACATGTTTGAGGAAGACTTGTGGAAACACTACAAATTAGCTAGAAAACAGAGCTGTCAAACACTGCACTTTCAAGACAAATAGTTTCAACACATAGTAAACTTGATTCTTAGAAAACTATTTTGCATCATTAAGCAGAAGAACCAAGTTCTAGGAGTCAGCACAGAACAAATAATCACTACTTCCTGCACTATAATAGTAGCTGGAATCCTTACAATATATTTTTTGTTACAGCCCCCAAATAGGTAAATACAATCCCTTCTCAAGTAATTACCTAGTTTGTAATCTCCTATAGCTTTTACTCTTCAGGAAATAAAGTTGGAGCCACACATTCAGTTTTAACACCTATCAGGAGTTTTAACATCCATCAAGATGTCGAATGGCTGGCTGATTCCATTTACAAGACATTTTCAAGATGTGGCTATTTTCTAATTGCTTGCTCACATGTATTCAGGATGCACTCATGATGACCTCAGACAGAAAATGGAAAAGGTCCATTTTGAAAGTACAATAAAAAAGTTGCTACCAGGCACTGGACTAATTATTTTCTAAAGATTAAATTCCAGGAAAACAATAATAAACATTTAAATACCTGAGCTCTGAATTCTGAGGAAGCTGCACAGAACATGGAGGTCAGTAAACAGAATCACATCATGTCTCACAAACAGGAAGATTTACTTACATTTCAGCTGCTTTTCTACCACAAGGTAGAAGACTGACAATTTAAAAAAAAAAAAAAAATAAAAATGCAGAGCTTTCAACTATAACCAGGATTTGACTATTCTTTTTTAAAAAGTAAAAAAACCCTTGACAAATCAATCTGGCATCAAACAGGAAGACATATAAACATTTCAGCTAATTTACATATTTCAGATGGTCTTGGGTAGAGACTCCCAGCAGCAAGACTACAGGGACTTTCAGCACGTGTACATCTCCCTGCTGACTGATGCCAGGAAGGAAGATAACCAAAGTTCAGAACATACTTTATCAGTATCAGCTGTGCTTCAGGAGCGATGCTAAACACGATTTCTAGCTGAAGGTAACCTGGATTAACTTCTGCATGTTTCTACACCACCCTCCTCGGGGTGGCAGCTGTAACAGCCGCTGTCCTGCAGATGGACCACCCCCACCCCTACGGCGAGTTCAGAAGGCGAACAGATCCTTGCACAAGTTTCCTATGTATAGTGCCGAGAAAAAGTAGAGAAAAACAGTACATTAAGAACCCTTTATATGTGTGTATTCTTCCACTTATCCTCAAGCATACAGACTCTTCAGCTTCAGCTCTCCTGGAAGGAAACACTGGCCCTCTTGAACAAAACAAGCTTCCAAACTGCAGGCAGAGGGGCCCAGCACTCAGCTGGAGAAGCACTCAGCTACTACACAAAACGTTACAAAGCGCCTCGAGTAGTCTGCTCTTGCCACCATGGTGCTGTGAAGGAAAAAACAGGGTCAGTGTCAAGAACGGTGATAAACTGCAGTAGTTAGATTAAACATTTATTTTTTGTATAATCACAAAATCTTCACAAAAGTATTGAAACTCAAAAAGGGAATTAGACTTGAGTCAAATACAGATGAAATGTACAAGACAAATGAGCAGGCAAACTAAAAGGTCTTGAAAGTATTTTACTTCAGATTGAAAAATGAACAGTTCAACTGTTCTGTTTAAATAAAATTTGCAAGATATACAGTATTTTATGAATACAATGCTGGTCATTTGAGGCAATGTGAAATACCTCAATTTTTCCTTCATGCTTTTTTTTTCTTTTTTTTTTTTTTTTCTTTTTTTTCCTTTTTTTTTTTCTTTTAGAAAGATATTGTTTACCAAAAAGAAACTTGAGCAGTCCAGGAAAAGCTACTTTCCATTAAATTTATGAAAACCATAAATTGAGGCAAACCTAAGATTCCCAATGGAATCAAGATTATCTTCCCGCTACCACCACCTTAAAATTATCACATGCTTATTGGAACACTAATATCTGCACCCTAAGAGTACATTTGCTTTCAACAATGAGGGTGATTCTTTTAAAAACACTTCAGTGTGGTAAATGCGATACAGATCTTTGCATGTATTAAGTTTTGGAACAGTTTTGCTAATAGCAGCTAACAATACTGGATTAATATAATTTATAAATAATTGTTCCCTAAGCGGTGAACATAAGTCTACACATTCACAATAATCTAAACCAAAATAAATACTGTGATTATGCATCATGTGGTACAGCCTTTTCTAGCTTCTATGAACAAAAGCTTAACATCTTGTGGATAAAATTATCTGATCAAATTAAAATATGAATCTAAAAATTTAAGAATAAAATTGTCAAATTAACATCGCTTAAGCTTAGTGTTTGACTAAATGTTACAACTTTGCACATTTTTTTGAATATATATTTTTCCTTTTTGAAGTAAAACACTTTAATACATTGAAAATATTCATTTAAATGATGACATCAGTTCTGGTCTTGTTTACTTTTAAAATCATCGCACTCATTAGCGCCCATTAAAGGTCAGGTTGGTCTGTAGTGTTCTGTAAATGTATATTAAAAAAAAGCTTCCAAAAGCTACCAGTACTTTTTATAAAAGCATCACGTCCAGAGCAGCTGCGTTAAATACAGCCACGCATGCCCAGTACAGACTTTCCTCTTTAACAAAAGACATGAAAGTAAATGCCACTTAACTTTCTGCCATCGAAGTGTCCCAACTCCTGTTCCAAGCTATGCCTGTGAGTGTTAATTACACATCTGATTTGCATTCATGGCATCAAAGTTACTGCAACCTAGATTTGTAATGCGACTGAACCAGACAAATGCAAAGTTTAAATTAAATGATAACTCGGTCAATGAGAAAATACTACGAGATATGAAAGGTTTGGGTCTTTAAGGCAATACAAAATATTATTTCATTATTTGAAGTTTTGTTTTTGTTTGGTTTGGTTTGGTTTTTTTTAAATAATTAAGTGTAAATATAAAAATGCCTAAGAGGGGAGTGAGAAAAAATATTTTAATTGTAAAATTTACTTAAAGCTTCAACAGTTATCTCCTACAGGAGTTAGCAAAAATATAAAAGACAAAAAAACCCAGACCTGGAAAGGGGAGGGAAGGCACAAACAAAGAGACATGGGATTAAAGCAGCCCAGGAATGCAAACACCTGTAACAAACCGAGTTTTGTTGTTTGTTTTCTGAAAACCAAAGAAAGAAAACAGTCACCACCATCAACCAACCAAAAAAAAAAAACCCAAGTGGCTTTAGCTTTCTTTAAAAAAAAGAAAGGGTTGGGAAGAGGCCACTACTGGGGAGGAAGAGAAGGACGCAGCTATAAAACCCCATTGCCTGAAATGATGGCACTCTAGAAAACAAGGTGAAGGTTACTTCTCCGAGATGACAAGCTCAGCATCTACACAAAGTACATGTAACACTTTATACAAATGAAAAACTTCATTTGCCACCATAAACCTTTCTTTCAGAGGAACTGCTTTTGCAGATCAAATCTTCTATTAAAACTTTCAAATACCAAGAAAAGAAATTCTGAGCAATATAACTAGTAGTGTCTCTTTATATGGATGTTAAGATGACAATTCAGATTATTTTCCAAACTAATCCTGAGAAAAATTTATGTTTACAATTTAAACAGTAATGTTATGTAAAAAGTATTAACAAATCCACTATTACAAATGTCAGTTTTCCTAGGTGATCATCTATATATACACAATAAAATGGTAAGTATATGTAAAAATAATAAAAAAAATCATGCACAAATTACTTTCACCTTTAAAGGCTGGGTTTCCCTCAAAATACAATTTTTTTGTGCCTTTTTTCCTATTTTTTTTTTGTGTTTTATTTGTTTATTACCACCCTCTAGACACACTGAGTACTACCTCTACAGGTCAGCATGAGCTGATGGGAGATACATTTATTTTACATTCAAGCTTTTATATCCTAAATGACCCTGTTGTAGCATATGACTTATCAAATGAGCAGCCTTTTTCCTCTTTTTTAAAAAAGTTTTTTCTTTTTTTTTCCTTTGTTCTTTTTCCTTTTTTTTCTTTATAGTTTTTTGTTGTTGTTGTTGTTGGTTTTTTTGGGTTTTTTTTTTTGGTTTTTTTTTTGTTTTTTTGTTTTTTTTTTTTGCAGTGATAATTAAACATGATCCGTTCCGTGGCGAGCTGGGAAAAAAAAATGCAGTTGCTAATCAATGTCTGAACAGTCTGAAGCTCCGGAAGAGATCCAAGGAGTCACTATCAAACTATCCCGTAGCATGAGATCATTGCACACAGAAGAACAGTCATAAAATAGGCAACTATCTACAGAGGTCTGAAAGGGCCGCATCCCTCTTGTGTTTCCTCTTCTTGCCGTGGAAAAACTGATGGTGTGATTTGCTGCCTTGATGCTGTTTGTTTGTAACTGAGGTACCGTGGCTTGAGTTGGTTGGACCTTGGAAGCCTTTGTTAGAAGAGCGGAATAACCGTGCAGATCCGTGCTGTAAAGGAAAGAGAAGATGGTCAATCCGTGCTCAAAAGGAAAAAGTGTGGCAATTACACCACCCTATCTCTGGACAAGGAGGCCGTTAACTCGTGAAAGCATTAAAAATGGAGAGTGCAAAAGAAGCCAGGCCCTGCCTCAGACAGCAGCACAGTACCATGGGTCTTTCACTCTGGTCATTGCACACAAACGTTCATCTCTAGACCCAAAACGATGCGGGTCAAGAGAGAAAAGCAGAGCACTTTGGTTCTGAAAAGGACAGAACTGTTCCATCACTCCCATTTCACAACCATCAGAAACGTGTTTTACAGAAACAGAAGTCCTTAATCCAAGATGACAGGTGAAGGCTGTTCAAATCTCATCTTCTGTGCCAAATTAAGATATTATTTTAAGTCCGGGACTAACTTTATACTACATCTTTTTACAGATGTAGAGCATCTCCAATAGTGCACATTGATGCTCCAGCACCAGAATGAGCTCTGCATGGTAAGAGCAGCACATATTCATGGGACACCCAAGGCCTAGTTCATCAGCTGTCTCGTTACCAGCTGAAGAGAGACTGTCAGCAAGCAGAAGGCAATTCGGAGTTACTTTTCAGGAGTAATATTCCAGACAATTCCAGACTATTATTCATACATGAGAGAAGTCCTAAATTCTGAAGAAGTATAAACATTTAAAATGCATATATCTGAAGTATATTGTATATAGAGGCATATAATATTTCCAGATTACTGAGTTGTCATAGAAGCATTGCACTACATGAGAAATCCCCTAAAAGTATAAGCTCTGGCAGGTCTCATCATAAAGGTATTTGTTTTTAGGGGAAAATGGGAGGAAATTTCATGTATCAGCAAGGAAACTTCATCTCCCTTAATGAAAGGCAGCTCAGCAAGCATCAACAGCTACATGGCAGCCAGACACAGTTTTAAACACACATTTTTGCTAACTGTTTTTCACTAAGTGCAGGCAAGTGTTATTAGTTCTCAAACTCTGCAGTGAAGTCTGGACGACGTGCTTTTGCAAAAAGGAAACGGGTGCAACGCAGCTGCACGCTCCTGCAAATCTAGATGGCTCAAAATAGAGTAACCCAATTTCATCTGTTTTAAGGTTGGGAAAGCCACTGTTGTAAACTCATCCATGTAAGCTGGAGACAGAACCGGCTGATTTTAGGTACAATCAGTGCAGAAAATGAGAGGTGAAAAATGGAGCGTTTCCTTTGCAGAGCCAGCTTCCCTTCCCGGGGGCACGTACGTAACAGTAAAATAATCCACACGGCCATCATTTCCTATCACTTCACAAACCTGGGATTTGTTCGTGTTGCTGGATGTATTGCCTGTTTGGCTGTTTTGTGTTTTCCCACTTGACTGAGAGGATTCCAGTGATACTTCCTGTGACCCCACTCGGTTTGTGGTAGACTGACGACAACTCAATTGTTTAGAGGTTTTGCAAGGTGTTCCATCAGAATCCTTCAGGAAAATGTAAAGTATTAGTGAGTTTTTCTTAAAAGCGATTTTTTTCTACAAGAGAGTTTTCCCTTAAAAAAAAAGATAACGGTGGACAAAACTTAGAATGTATTTATTTTATTAGATATTAAGATTCTTTCAATTCAGAATTCTTAATGAGAAAAATAGACAGATTTTAAAAAGTATTTATGGATGACTCTGATTTGACAGTTTGCCTTTTATTTTTTTAAATAGAATTCCCAGACTTTTTCAAGGCTTTTTTTTTTTTTAATTAAAAAAAAAAAAGTACAACTTAGGACAACCAGTCTTTTTTTCTAAACACAGTTTTCCAAGAGAAAAAAAAAGGGCTGTGTAACTTGGTGTCTACTGTATTCACTTTCCAGATGTGTTGTGTCAAAACCACACTGCAACTTACATGTGTAGAAATTGCATAAGAGGTAACATCTTATGCAAGTTAGGATTCTGGATGAAATAACTAACTAGGATTCTGAGCTTTCAAAATGTGTTCTGTGGCAATACAGATTAGGAAAGGGAAAAAAAAATTGAAAAAAAATCTGAAAACCTCCGGTACTTACTACATCACTAGAGCTGGACAGTGTAGATGATGAGGATGATAAAGGGCCTGATGAAGAATTTGAAGAATGTTTACTAAGTGTTTCTGAAGCTTTATTTCTAGGTTTGCCCAGTGCTTCATTCTCTTCAGCAAGGTTATTGTTGCATTTGTCTAGTTGCTGAGTATCTACTATCAGGGTTACTCCATTACCTATTTAAAAGAAAACAGAAGCATCACCACACATTAACTCCTAAAATATGGGTGAGGACACGTCCAGCCACCTGCACCTACACTTTCAGCACGTGCAGACCCCCGCACGCGTGAGTCTGTGCGTAGGTACTGCGCGCAGCAAGCCGGCACCTCGCCGAGGGTCTAGTGGGTCCCTGGCCAAACCCAGCAACGTACAGCACGAAACCCACAAGCATTACCCACAGTTCAAGATGCAAATTAATAGGACATGGAACAAGGTAGTAAAAAAGTTCAGATGTGCTGTTTAATAAGATTGTTTCAGCACGATATACTTCAACAGCACTCAAATATATAGGTTTGATTCTGTTCCTATATGCCCAGTACTCAGCAACTCCCATTTTTCTTCTTCTGGAGCTGCTAGGGCACTAAGAACTCAGATAGTTGCTTTGTATGATACACTGCTGTGAAAATACAAGATACAGAACTCTTGTATCCTACTGAATTCTACTTTCATTTTCTAAAAATAAATTAAAAAATTGAATTTAAGTCTAAACTAAATCTATGAGACCACCACTGTAACTGTCCTCATTATCTTCCTGACACAGGGTTACTTTTTTATGACTACTGTATCTCACATAAGACACCTAGGAGTTACTCCTGATTTCTGTAATATACAGTTGTTGCCACTGGCTGGGTATGGAGTTTACCCCACACACCACAACACGTAGCTGTGCACTGCTCCGGAGCCTGGGGGACTGAACCGTGGCTGGCTGCATCACCAGGGGTAAAACCCTGACGGCCCAGCAGCACAGCTGAATTACAAGGACAGCAAAGGAGACACTAGTAAGAGCTTTAAAAACCAACAAACAAAATCCTAGCCAAGCCCAAAGGCTGGTAATTGTGTCATCTTCTCTCATTAATCCTTAACAAGAGAAGACTTCTAGTAGGCAACGTTCTAAAATTAATTACAGAGCATTAAAATTAGTTTTATTTTGCAAACTTCCACTCAGTAGATACACCTACACCAAGAGAGTGGAAACCGGACTGTGAAGTCAGAAGATGGCCAATAAAAATAAAGATGATTTAAAGGACATTTTCAGCAAGATCTCTGGCTAGATTTTGTCTGTTTCCATTTGTTAGTAACAAGAATTATGACTGATATCTCACAATTTTTGTGTTTGAAAGACTTATCCCACTTTATCCTGGTTTAAATATTGCTTCCATAGACATACAGTATGTTTAACTTTAAAATGAAAAACAAAAGAGCAACAAAGGCTAAGGATTTGGATTTCCACTCGCATCCCCAGTAAAACCTTAGCCACACTGAAAGGACAAAGGACGTGTGACAGTAACAACGTGTCTAATTTAAATTGCAAGTTTTTTCAAGTCGCCTTTTGCGAGCCTTCACTCTTTACAGACCTCTGTGCTGACCAGGTCTATCGGAGTAGAACAAAGATGTGATATGACCTTTTTACTCCTGCACAAATCTGAATTTCCTGGATGAGGACACAAGAAAACGTCCATCCATATTAAAATGGACACATCACCTTATTGAGGCAAAACCAACAACAAAATCTGTATGACCAAAACACGCAGCAGTTTCCTGCTATCAGCCATGCTCAGTCAAAACTTACCGTTACATGAAGATTCTGTCCTGCTCTGCATTCCCCACTGCTTTGATATCCAGTCTCTGTATGTGGCCACTTCTTGTGTTACTCTAATTATTCTACCCAATATACTGTATACCAGGAAGAAAAAAAACAAAACTCACCAGAATTAATTTTGAGACACACAAAAAAATAAACAATTGCTGTGTGTGATTTAGACTCATAGAATTTACCTTTCCGTCTCGTTGTTAGGATAATATTTAGCTATTGGGGAAACTGCATGGCTCAAAACAACATAGGCATAATCAAAAGCCTGTTTCACTTGCATGGCACCATAAGAACTCCTTCCAACATCATTACCTTAAAATAAGAATATAAATCAATAAATGAGATTGAAACAGTGGTTATTTCCTTTCAGAGAGAACACAGTAGTATTTTTTTTTTAAATTGCCCTTAAGTCCCAAGTCACTGCAGTTACCTCTTGTACAATAGGATTAGTGAAGCATAAAAATTTGAAAGAGCTTAAAAAGCCTATATTTACATGCACAGACGTCCAAAATGGTAATTCTCTGGCTGAAAGTGCAATACATGAAAAAAACAAAACCAAAACCAAACCCTGTACTGCATATATTACGCATACAACACTACCATCCTGGTGACATTTTTCTAGATCAGAAATATGTGAATTCTTTCCTGTGAACAGCATTTGACTCACCATCCCAGAAGCCATTTGAGTTAACGTAAAGGTAACAGTCCAGAACGAAACCCCTACATATTTCTGTGACCCTACAGAACCAAACAGGAGAGAGCACACGCGAGCATTTGTGTCTTGTAAAGGGCAGCTGTGGCACAGGCAAGTGTGAGCTTGGAGGGGACCACATGTACAGGCAGGTACATCCAGCCCGTGCTGCCGTAGCTTTGCCTTTGTCACCACAGGGCAGGTGACAACACTTTGGGGTGCCTTCCCACACCCCACCTCCTGACTGCAGTACAGGCGTGCTCTTGGGGAGGACAGCAACTTTTGCTAGGAACACAGCTTAATGCAAAACACTGTTTTCCAAGTGCCTCTTTTGTTCACAGACATGAATGAGGTGTTTCTGTTTGGTTTTGGGTAGTCATTTTATGATATTCTTTGATCTAACTCCTCTGGATTAAGCATTCCCCTAACTTTTTTTATTCACCAAAATGTTAAATCTTGCTTTATGAGGATACCTGGCTGTAATGGATCTTCAATGTACAGCATTGATGGTCGGTACCCATCCAGCATGCTTTTTTGCACTTCATCCTTGGCAACATAAGAGCCACCATCCTTTATTCGGATTCCAGTCTTCAGATAATTGAAGTGACGTCCATATAATTCAAAAAACTCTATTAAAAGAACACCATAGTTGGCACTGGGCATACAGGCATCTTCCCTGGGATGCAGCTATTAAGAAGAGAGAAAAAACATTTTCTTAAGACTTCAAGTTTCAAGTGCCTTTTTTTATCACGGTAAACATGCCTAAATACAGTAACAAATAATAATACAACACAATATAGAAAGCAAACATATCTAAATATAGTATTTCCCCTTGATAAAGCAGTTTTGCAACTTTAAGACGTTAACAAAAGTTTTATAAACCTAATTACCTCTTAATCTGGCAAGCACTAATGGTTTTGTATTTGAACTCTCAGCTCAATAAGTGGATTTCCAGCACTAACGGCAGAGTTCTTGTAAAAAAGCAAAGATATCTGTGCTTCACAAACCTGGATTTGCAATACAACTACAGGCTTCTAACATGCACAGCTATAAAAATGACCTACTGAAAAGTATGCAGCCTGAGAGATTATGAATAAAACCAGCTCATACTTGTAACAGATAAAAAAACCTGGCTTTTTTTTTGCAGTAGCAAATGGAAACGCTATTACTCAAAGTAAGAAAAAACTGGGATTGGGAGAGATTTTGGTTTCTTTCAGTAAGGTATGTCTGTTGTCTTCATTTCTAGCAAGAAACTGCAATAGCACTCAGCAAACACTGAGCTCCAGTTCAAGGCCCAGGTCTAAAAGTCACTACAATCTGTAGAAGTATAGACATACAGGTACACACAGAGCTATATGGTAACACTTAGTGCCAGAAAAACAACGAGGTTGATAAAGCCAGAACATGGACACTTCATATTTCTACAACATTCTTCTCCCCAGGCACAAAAACATAGACTTAGTTCATGCATTTTCTTCTCTTAGATTTAAGAGAAAGTTGTAACATCTTTATTTGGTATTGGCTTAAAAACCTAGACAAAGCAGCAAAATTCCACTATGTTCATTAAAGCACATATATATGGCCTGGAAAACAAGTGTTCTAAAAGACAGCTGCATCCAATACTAACCTATGTGGCTTGTTCCAAATAAGTTACACCATAGTCAAGTTATTTTACCATGAACGACACACGTGCCTGGTATCGATACAGTAATGGATATTCCAAACATCTTAATACCAAAACCACCAGTATGGGAGAAAGGACAGAAGACAGGTGGCATATGTCTAATTTTAAATGAAAGGGGGGAACAAAATCACAAACAGGATAGTTTAAATTATTAAATTTAAGGATTGACTAATTTCCTTCTTCATGTAACGCCCTTATGCACCAATGACAACGACAGACGGCATTCAGCTCACCTGAAGGAAACTGACAGCCATTAAAAAGAGACTATAAGAACCGATTCCACCTGTAAATACTTCATTAAGGTCCCTCTGCAACAGGAACTGTTTCAGCACTAAAACTAGATAGGGTAGTACAGGGTATTTCTGAAAGAGAAAAAGAAAGATGTCAGGATATTGTGATGCATACACACAACAGGTGCTAAGGAGGTGTACTGAAGCTCTCTGTTACATTCAGTCTTAAAGCTAAGTGTAAATCTAACTTATTATTTTTAGGAATGGGGAAGAAGACGAATGCCCTGCCTGTGATCAATACAGTTATTTTACCTCTGCAACTCTGGTGGCAGATATTAACAACAGAAAAAAGTTATTACCCCATAAAATCAGACTGATTTTGTTTGAATATATGAATACACTTGCTCTTCTCATACAAGTGAACAAGAAAGCAAAGGAAGAACTATGGAGATACCTACGCCTGTAGCAAAACCTTCCTGCTACAATCAAGGTGATATCCCAAAGTGGTCAGACACTTCTGCCCTGTAAGCGCCTCAGATGCCCAGAGTTAAAACAATTCTTCAAAATTACTATATCCAGATAGCGTTTTCCAAGGAGCACAATACTTACCTTTGGGTAACTGGTCCTTCAGTAGGTTTCCGCATGGATTCCCTAGGAGGCGTGCATACACTGCACATACAGAGAGCATGGACCTTTGGGGCAGCAGTGGAGGCTGGGGCTATGCCTGTACTCTGTACACCCCCTCACAGCAGAGGGGAAAAAGGGGCTCAATAACATCACCCCTTTTATCAACACAGAGCTAAAATTTTCCTTAGTCACAGAAAAGACGCAGGTCGTGGTATCTGTGATTGTAAGAGATCATAGGGA